GCCTCGGCCTCTCAAAGTGCTGGGATTACAGGAGTGAGCCACTGTGCCTGGCCTAGTTATCTTTTATACAACATATTCACCAAGGGTATAATGCTTCAAGGGGCCTACCTTAATGTGAGAGCCTCATTTTCAACTCTTCATTTTGCACGTAACCGAGGTTTTGCCCACAGAAGCTCCTGACAATTGACATCCAAGCACAGGGTAGGGGTGGCAGCAGCAGTGACAGCAACAGTAGCTCTTGGCCTGCTTTGGTTTTCAGTTACTTTTCAATTCCCAGGAAATTGAATTCTATTCTACCTATTTTCAGATCCCAACTCAAGTAACACCTTCTCACAGAAGCTATCCCTTACTCTCCAGAACAGATCAGGCACCTGCTCTACACTTCCACAGCTCCCTGCATTTTTCCTCCACTGCACATAATAATTTGTAGTTAGGTTTAGTAGTGTGATTATTTATTTAATGTTTCTCTCTGTCACTGCACTGTTAGTTCCATGAGGGCAGGAATCATTTGTCCACCATAGTATCCAATTTGGCACAGTACAGCAACAAAAGAAGTATTTGCTAAATGAATAAAATGAGTGTGTGTGGCTGGTTGGGGGTGGATGAATATTAATGTGAACATAACTCCTCAAAGAAAGTAAATAACTGAAAAAGGAGAAGGAAAAGAGAAAACAGTGTATTATGAATATTTCAAAATTGCAGGAAACACACTGCAAATCCCTGGGGAGCCACTTCCTATTTCAATCAAACCCTTACATATTCAGCATTCTTGTTTCCTTTTTGTTTTAATTGAGATATAATACTTAGATCTTAAGTATTCCATTGATGGGGGCAGTGGCTCACACCTGTAACCCCAGCACTTTGGGAGGCTGAGGTGGGCAGGTGACGAGGTCAGGAGATCGAGACCATCCTGGCTAACACAGTGAAACCTCGTCTCTACTAAAAATACAAAAATTAGCCGGGCGTGGTGGCCGGTGCCTGTAGTCCCAGCTACTTGGGAGGCTGAGGCAGGAGAACGGCATGAACCCAGGAGATGGAGCTTGCAGTGAGCTGAGATTGCACCACTGCATTCCAGCCTGGGTGACAGAGCGAGATTCTCTCTCAAGAAAAAAAAAAAAGTTTTTCATTTAATCCATTGTGACAAATGTATACTCCTGCAACCCACATCTCTACTGAAATGTGAAATATTTCTATCAATCCAGAAAGTTTCTTCATCTTCCTTCAATATTTCCATTTCCAGAAACAACTCCTTATCTGATTACAATTAGGAGTTGACGATTAACTTACAGTAATGGATAAGTTAGTTTTGCCTATTCTAGAATCTCACATAAATAGAAAAAAACAGTATGTACTTTTTTTGTCTGGCTTCTTTTATTACTCACAACATTTTTGATATCACCCATGTCGTTGCATATATCAATGTTATTCCTTTTTGTGTTGAGAAAATTCTATTGTATGAATATAACACATTTTGTTTATCTATTCTGTTGATAACTACGCTGGCTATTCCAGCTATTACGAATTGAACTGCTATGAACATTCTTGTACAAAGCTTTTTGTGAAAATGTTTTCATTTCTCTTGGATAAATATGTAAGAGTAGAATTGCAAAAAAAAAAAAAAAAAAAAAAAAAAGTAGAATTGCTGGGTCACAGCAAATGCTTGCTTCTTTAAGAAACTGCCAAATAATTTTCCAAAGTAGCTGTATCATTTTATAGGCCCGCCAACAACAGGGTGAGATTTCTGGTTGCTCTACATCCTCTCCAACATTTGGTATCATCCAACTTTTTCACTGTAGCCATTCTGGTGGGTATATCATGGTATCATTGGCATTTTCCTGATGATTAATGATATCAAGCACATTTTCATATGCTTATTGGCCATTGGTACATCTTCTTTGTGGAATATCTGTTCAAGTCTTTCTCTCGTTTTTAAAAAAAGGGTTGTCTTTTTATTGCTGAGGTGCAGGAATTCTTTATATATTCTGTCCTCTGTCAGACATGTTTTGCAAATATTTTCTTTCAGATAGTGGTTTGTCTGTTTCTTAATAGTATTTTCTAATGAGCAAAATATTTTATATTTGGTAAGGTCTAATTTATCAATTTTTAAAATGGTTTGTGATCCCTATAAACTCTAATAAATTTTATTCTTCTTCATAAGAGAATGAAGAATTATTCTCCTATACTTCTAGTAGCTTTATGGTTTTAGCTTTTAAGTTTATGATACATTCAAATTGATTTCTTTGTATGGTGTGAGGTGGGGGTTAAGATTCTTTTCTTCCCTATGTAGATATTCAGTTGTTCCAACAGCATTTGTTAAAAATAGAAAGAGTTTCCTTTTCTGACAGATTTGCTTCTTACCTTTGCTCAAAGTCATCTGACCTTACACATGAGTCTCTTTTATGGATACTCTATTCTATTCCTTTATTTGTTCATCCCTTTGACAATATCTTACTTTCTTGATTACTATAGCTTTATAGTAAGTCTTAATGTCAAGTAGGATTAAGTCTGCCAACTTTGTTGTTCTTTTTCAAGACTGTTATGGTTATTCTAGGTCCTTTGGTTCTCCAAATATATCTTAAAAACAGTTTGCTAATTTCTATAAAAAAGCCTGCTGAGAGGTGAATTGGTATTAAATCTACAGATTAATTTAGGAAAAGCTGCCATCCTAACAATATTAATCTTTTAATCCATAAATATGGCATACCTCTTCATTTATTTAGGTTTTATTTCATTTCTTTTAGTAACGTTTTACAGTTTTCAGTCTTGAACATCTTTCATTAAATTTATCCATAAGTACTTGGTATTTTTAATGCTACAGTAAATAGTATTTTTCTTTTTGTGAGACAGGGTCTTGCTCTGTTGCCCAGGCTGGAGTGCAGTGGAACAATCATGGCTCACTGCAGCCTTGACCTCCCCAGGCTCAACTGATCTTCCCACCTCAGCCTTCCCAGCATCTGGGACTACAGGTGCATGCCACCACGTCCAGCTAATTTTTGTGTGTATATATATATATTTTTATAGAGACAGAGTTTCGCTATGCTGCCAAAGGGTGGTCTCAAACTCCTGAGCTCAAGCGATCTGCCCACCTCAGCCTCCCAAGGTGCTGGGATATACACTTTATATCTTATAGCAATACTATAAAATTTACTTACCAGTTCTACTAGTGTTTTTTTAGACTTCTTAGGACTTCATATGCATAATCATGTCATCTTCAAATAAAGACTGCTTTACTTCTGTCTTTCCAATATTTATACCCCTTTCTTCTTGTCTTGTTGCATTAATTAGGTCCTCCAGTATAATGTAGAATAGAGGTGGTAAAAGTGGATTATCTCTGAATTGTTCCCAATATTAGGGGGAAATATTTCAAAATTTAAACTGTAAATGTGATCTTAACTGTAGGTTTTTGTAGGTGTTCTTTATCAGGGTGAGGAAGTTTCCTTCTATTCTTAGCATGTGGAAAAGTTTTATCATAAATAAGTGCTGTATTTTTTCAAATGCTTTTTCTACATCTATTGAATGATCTTACAATTTTTATCTTTTAACTGTTAATGTGATGAATTACATTGATTTTTATATATTAAATATATTTGCATTTCTAGGATAAATCTCACTTTATCATGGAGTATCATCCTTTTTATATATTGCTAGATTCAATTTGCTAATATTTTGTTACGGATTTTTGTATCTAGTTCATGAGAGAATTTGGCCAGCAATTTTCTTTGCCTGTAATGCCTCTGTATTGTTTTTTAATCAGGTTATAGTGGCCTCATAAAATGACTTGTAAAGTGTTCCTTCTTGCTCTATTTTCCAAAAGAGTTTGCATTAAATTGACATTATTTCTTCCTTAAGTATCTGAGCCTGGGGTTTTCTTTTCTTTTCTTTTTTTTTTTTTTTGAGACTGAGTCTCGCTCTATCCAAGTACAGTAGCTCCATCTCGGCTTACTGCAACCTCCACCTCCTGGGTTCAAGTGATTCTCATGCCTCAGCCACCCGAGTAGCTGGGATTATAGGAGCCTGCTACCACGCCCAGCTAATTTTTGTATTTTTAGTAGAGATGGGATTTCACCATGTTGGCCAGGCTGGTCTTGAACTCCTGACCTCGTGATCCACCCGCCACGACCTTCCAAAGTGCTGGGATTACAGGCGTGAGCCACTGCGCCTGGCCAAGCTTGGGGTTTTCTTTGTGGGAAGTTAATTATGAATTCAACTTCTTTAACTGACATAGGAATATTTGATTTTTTTATTTGTTCATGTGTCAGTTTTATTAATTTGTGTCTTTCAAGGAATTTATCTATTTTATCTAGGTTGTTAATCTTACTGGGAAAAAGGTGTTCATCATATTCCCTTATCATTCTTTTAATGTCTGTGGGATCTACAGCAATGTCTCTTTTTCCATTCCTGATATTAGTAATTAGTGTTTTATCCTGTTTACTTGATGAGTATTGCTGCATTTATTAATTTTATTGATACCTTAAAAGAATGAAATTCTGGCTCTTTGATTTTCTCTTCTTGATTCTTTTATTTTTTATTTTTATTTTTTTTGAGATGGAGTCTCGCTCTGTCACCCAGGCTGGAGAGCAGTGGCGTGATCTCAGCTCACCGCAAGCTCCGCCTCCTGGGTTCAAGCCATTCCTGCCTCAGCCTCCCGAGTAGCTGTGACTACAGGCGCCTCCCACCAGGCCCAACTAATTTTTTTGTATTTTTTTTAGTAGAGATGGTGTTTCACTGTGTTAGCCAGGATGGTCTCGATCTCCTGACCTCATGATCCGCCCTCCTTGGCCTCCCAAAGTGCTGGGATTACAGGCGAGGGTTCATTTTTCAAATAAACAGAACATTTAGATAAAATTAAGGGCCCCTTCAATCTCCTCCCTAAACACTCCCCTTCCTTTTGTCCCTGAGGTACCTGTTCTCCTAAATTTCATGTCTACTATTCCCTTTCCATTTGCATATTAAAGTAATGCTAATTTCTGCCACTCTCCTGGGATCCTCCATTAACTTACCACATTTCCTGCTTCTGCAGCCAGCCGGGCAGCATATCGAGCTATAAGACGGTGTTCCTCATCCAGTCGGCTAGGACTGTCCAGAACACTGCCAAGGAAATAAAAATGCAACAGGTGTCTATTAAACATCCCTTATTCTTGTTCCATTCTTAGAACAGATGGAAGAAAAGCTCATAAAAGAATGGTAATAAAAGAACTAGAGGTCTGGGTCAGAGATACTAATGGCCTTCTGAGAAAAAAGGGGATTTAGAGAAACGAGGAGGCCACATTTGTCATTCCTCATTGGCAGCACATCCCCGCTGCTCCCCACCATTAAAGGGGCACTTAATTTTGAATGCAAGGGCTAAGAAAACACAGGGCACCCACAAAGTCTGAGAGAGGGATTTCTAACCAAATGTTTAAAACTGATGACTTTTTAGACCTTGATCTCAAATTCAAAAAGACCAAGAGCATTATGAGAAATACAGGGCTGAGAAAAAATATACTTAACACTGGCTAAGCAAAAGTTTGGCCTTGCCAGGGCAGGCCAAACACACTGTAAAGCTGGAAAGATTCCATGACATCAAATATTCCCCTTTTCGTGCCCCTTTCTCTTCCTTTACTATGCTCATTCTACATCTCTAGCCCCATCTTGGAGTTAATTAGTTTAACGCATTACTCTTTAACAACAGTACCAACACTTTAAAAAAATCTAAGGACCCATTCAGACAGGTTATCAGATAATGTGGTAACTGGATGAGGGAAGGGTTCTTGAGTAATAGGCTGGCTCTGCATATGGGATGCTGATATGGAACTTTGGATTCTGAAATACATGACTTCTTTAATTTAGTATATCAAATGCTATTTATCCTTATCAAGACAGTCCCAGATTAATAGGGACTGTGGCTATATAATTCTCTGTTTAGGACTGGCAGATGCTTTAAGACAACAGTGATGATGTTGACTAAATGACTGGAGGTGGCTGTTGTGGCTTACCTCCACTTTGGCCCTATGTTCTCGGGTTTCCAAAAACCCCTGATCAGAATTTAGCAGTATGACAAGTCATACAGAAAAATTTAAAGACATGACTTCAATACTCATCGAACTTTCTTATAATTACTGAGGGGAATCTGGGAAGGGTGCGGCTAAATCAATAAAGATCTGTCTGAAATTTTCATGTGTAGAATCAACTATATTTTTTTTAGGTTTTGCTTTTTAAAAAATCTTTCTATCTCTTTGGCTAAGTCTTTAAGCTTAACTTAGTCTTTCTTCTAGGATTTTTTTAAAGTGCTTTGAGTCTTCTGCCTATGACATTTGTCAACACTTTGTAATTTTAAGCATGCAAATATCCATCTCCAGGATAATCATCCTCTGAAAAAATGATCTTGTAATAAGAACAGACTACTATCAGGTGGCTTTAATATTTTGAGGTCAAGGCCCCAAGGTGAGAGATAAACTGTAATATTTGTGCTTTAAAGGTATTTGTGTGAAATAAGAGAACTATCTTTTAAATTAAAAAAAAAAAAAAACAATAAAAATGGATGCTTAAGAATACAAGTGGATCATATTATGGAGGGATTGGAAGCCTAAGAAGTGGGGCCTAAAGTGGCTGACCTCTGTTATCTGGCAAGGGATACAATAGGTTCTTCTGTGCAAAAGAGCTCCTTTTTCTCAATCACATTCTATCTCCTTAGGAAGGCTGATCCTATTTGTCATTTATACATGAGTATGGATGACAGACTGCTTTAATTGGCTATGTTTTCTAGCCAGAAACTAGAAGCTTGTGTTGATGAGAGGTTTTAAGGTCAATGAAAATTATTTGAGGGCAATTAGAAAGGATCCTTATTCTTCTGTTTGAATTGACTTTCATTTTCAGAATTAGTTAGCCAGGAAAGTTCTGACTTCTCGGAAGAAGTATGAAGTTCAGTTTCTTAGATTACTAATCAAGAAGTCAGGCAGTACTCACTCACTCGTCATGTTCTCCCAAGGCTACCAGCCACCAATTTTTGCTCAGGGAGCCGAGGTGAGACTTGAGGGCCTTAGCTAAACCTACCATAAATCTGATTGGGCTAAATTACTAGGTAACAGTCTCTGTCAAACATTCTGCCGTTATTTTTACAATGGAAACTTTTGCTCACTCTGGACAATTGCCTTTACTGGTAATAAAGAATTTGTTTTGCCTAAGGTGAAACAACTCTATTCCTAGAGACCAAGAAGTTGGGACAGTGTGCGAAGAAATCACCTGTTGGAAGAGAAGACACTTTGCGATGCAGCGCACACAATTATCAGGCCCTTCCTTCCCTTTTAGAGGGTAAGCCTATTAAACATACTTAGAAGGTTAGAAAACCCTACTTCTCCAAGCTTTAGAGACACATAAATACCCCAGAAAAATAATGCTATTTAGTCATATCAGGAAAACTGTGGAAAACGGTATAAAGCATAATATTAAAAACAGTCTTTTTCATACGTATATTTCCCGACTGACTATTAATTTATTCTTCTCTTATTATGGGGAGTAGCAGCAAGGTCAGATGACCCTCCCAAGGAGCCAAGGCATGCTGTAAGCAAAACTAAGATCAAAATTTAAAGCTTCAGCCTCTGTTATGTGTATAGCTGATAAATTACGGTTTTCTCTCTAAGAATAAGAATCTCAAAGCATGGCTTTCCAAGTTGTTTGGCATTGTGACTCTTCTTTGCTGTTACACAGGGGAAGGATGGCTTTAGATTGTTTAAACTTTACCTGTCATCCTACTTGAAGAATGGTGGTGGGTGTGGGCATGGAGTGGGCAGGAGACTTTGGACCTACCTGAACATAATACCATTTTTTTCGGTACTAAATCTTTTAAAAAAATGATGAACTTTGCTATAGATAGCAGTTATCAAACGTTTTTCCATCCCGAACCACTGAAGAATCAGACACATTCTCTTATTAACAATGAGTCACTACTGTAGTAGTTTTCAGCGTAAGGGGAATGTGGAGCTATTATAATACATGTAAGTATTACAATAGAGAGGGTCTATATAATTTGGAAAAAGACCCTCAGGTGACAGTGATCCAATACCATTGTTGGGAATCACTGGTTTAAATAATCAACAATGACAGATTCCTGCTAACAGATAAAGGGTGGTAAAGATGTAATAGGGTGACAGTATCAAAGTCCCCAAATAAGACAAAGCAGGATATCTGTGGGCTGATCAACTCTAAACTTTGAATGTCAATACAAAGATTTCATTATTCAGGTAAGAATGAACAGGAAGAGGCTGCATCACATACCTCTGTGAATACTGCATCTTTGGAAATGTCGACCTCTCATAGGTTTGTATCTTTTTTGAGTGTAAGTTGAAGGAAGTGAACCCCACTTTAAAGGAGAATGTCTGACTCCATGTTTAGGTAAGCGCCCAGGCTTGGCAACCCTCCCTCTCTTGTAGAAGCGAATGCTTAGCAACTATTTTAACTCTGCCAAACACAGCTCGTAGTTTCTCAAGAAAAACCCTACATGCAGTTTTTTTTCCAGCTGACAACCCCAGGTAGCAAAGCTCTCCCTCCCTCTGATCACCCCTGGTTGTCCACTGCTGCTGCACCACCACTGACCGTGCACAGTGCTGCAGACGGGCCACATAGGAGGCTATCAGCGCATGCTCATCGGCCAAGTGACAGGGTATATCCTGGCTATACTGTAACCTAGGAACAATGGAGGCAAAGACAGCAAGCGTGACACAAACACACACAGAGGGAGAAATGAACATGGATTAAAATGAGCAAACTTCAAAGAAAAATTTAAAAAATAATAAATCATGATAAGGAAAACAATAAAAAACCCACAATGCATAATGGAATATGGTGTTAGATCCTCAGGAATCCATCTCTCAAATCCTCGAAACAAAAGCAGTCCTTCAGGAGTGGCTCTGGCTCTGACATGAGAGCCCTTGGGAAGGACTTGTTGAGTGGGCAGAGGAGCCGCGTGTACCACTTTTGTCCAGGTGCTGCGCTCTGTGATGATGAACTTTTTAGAGGATGCCCTCTGGCAAGACAACTGAGGCACAGCCAGTCTACTAAATATTACTATGTGACCCCCTAGTGTTATGCTTTTATAAGCTTTTGTGTGCATCTAAGAATTTTCAGTGTTACTTCATGTTGCCAATTAAAACATTTTTATTTCTATAAGGATACTGCCTTTAGCATCAGTTTGTTTCTCCCATAAAACCGGTACCCAACCCAAACTCAACAGAACTGCACCTAATTGTAAGGCAACACTATATATTCTGAGTGAGGCTCTCTCTTACAGATACGTGAAAGGTCCTTAAGCACATGGTCTTCCAGATTTTTAGTACAGAAATATTAAAACTTGCATAAAATAGAGTAACGTAATGACTACCCCTCAGGTACCCACAGCAAAACTTGAATGAATATCAACATTCTGTCAATGTTATCTAATCGAATTTTCATTCCTCCCACTTTTTGTGCAGGGACGTGTGGCTAAAAGCAAACCCCAGGCAATTACTTCACCTGGGAATACTTGAGCCTGTACATCTATCAGACAGTAAAAACATTTCACACAACCTAACACCATTATCACACCTAAAAACATAGACAAAAATATTTTAGTATCCCAGTCCATCTGCCAATTTCCTCAAATCTTAAAAAATGTCCATTTACATTAAAGTCAAGATCCAAAGTCCCCACTTTGCATTTGGCTGGTAGGTTTCTTTTATGTTTGTATTTGACTGATACATTTCTGGTTTTTTTTTTTTTTTGAGATGGAGTCTCACTCTGTCTCCCAGGCTGGAGTGTGATGGCACGATATTGGCTCACTGCAACCTCCGCCTCCTGGGTTCAAGTGATTCTCCTACCTCAGCCTCCCAAGTAGCTGGGATGACAGGCGCGTACCACCAGTTAATTTTCGTATTTTTAGTAGAGAAGGGGTTTCGCCATGTTGGCCAGGCTGGTCTTGGACTCCTGACCTCAAGTGATCTCCCTGCTTCAGCTTCTCAAAGTGCTGGGATTACAGATGTGAGTCACTGCGCCCAGCCCCAGTCATCTTTCTGAGGCTCAAACTGTCCTACCTTTGGCCAGTGGAAGCTCCTGTTGTAGGCTCTTGTGTTCTTTTG